TTAGAAAGGAGGATAAAGGAGCATGGACCAATATAAAAACTGCATAGAATAAAGGAACATACAGAGAGATACAACAGAAGCAAGAACATATAGAGAAGAAAAAGGAGCAATATAAAAGGACAAATGGCAGCAGGGAAACTATAATATTCGTTACTCACAGTAATCATGATGTAGAAATCTATATGCAAAAAGAAAAAATTTAGGATAATATAAAGTACAAGAAATAGGAGGAGAAGCCAGGAAAGAAAAAGTAAAAAAATTGGGCATTAATGGCTTATAGTAATATCAGGAATAATCGATAGTATAAAGGAATTAGTTAGCAACAGCAGGAGTCGAATTTTATTGAACAAGGAATGACACAGAGAGTGCTTCAGCGAGTCCCAATTGTCTATATGCGTTACATTAACTATAAGGACCATCACGATGTGAAATATACAGATAGAACTATAGAATAACATACTTAAGGAGAAGATAAAGGTATGGTTGGGCATTGGTGCAACAGTTATTATGGATGGGAAGAAATTAATGAGAGTTGATAGATCCATATCGGCGATTGAGATAAATTGTCCTAGAACGAGTATAAGTGGAGACAGGATATTGAGGTATCGGAAGTAACGGAAGGATAAGTCACTTATTATATTTCATGGGAGCATATATGACATAGAGGAAATCTTCTTATATCTTTTTTAGAAGTAGTGAATTAAAGGAGTAATGTTCTTCATGGGAATTTTCAAAAGAAACAAATGAGCTGCCTTTACTGAGGAGAAAGTACAAACCTTCTTTGCATCAATATTCAGAAGTCAATCCTTATTCATAGAATGAAAATATATACATAGTGGATGTGTGTCAGCTATGGTACGTACAGATGCGAATAATAGTAAGGAATAATGAGTAGAAGTATACTTTTGTATCTATTAGGATGACGTATGAATAGGACAACATTGGATGTATGTAAGACAATATCCATGGGGAGTTATTCTGCGATCCTCTATCTGTTTGGAATATCCTTACTGTATGCTTGGTATAGGAACTATAAGAGCAGGAGGAAGCACTAAAGAATACATAAAGAGCTAATATCGTCTGTTTGTCAGCGTTACAGTGGGTACACTACGACACTGTGATGATTTTCATGATGGATGTAAGGACAAAACGTTGAATAAGGATAACGCGAAAAAGACTCAGACAATACTCTAGGTGGTAATGAATCCGGATTCAGAAAACGGAGAAAAGGAATAGAGGAAAAATGAAATTGGACTGGCGGAGTCAGCAATTAATACAGGGCATAACGAGCAGAGGGGAATATGACATGGAGTTCTATGAAGAAGTATGGAGGAAGAGGAATCAGATATAGACAGTTTTATCGGACAAGAAAGAAATAATAGTGAAAAGAATTCTATCAGGAGAAGTAAGCAAGTGCATGAGATAAAAAGAAAGATAAAGAATATATTGTGAGAAATATAGGAAATAAAGAATTCATGAAAAAAGCGAATACATACAGAAACAATAAGGGGATAACTTATAGTCGGCGTCACATGAGCACAGTTAACAATAATCACCACTAACAGATTCCGAGAAGGAGAAATTGATAAACTGTTGAGGCTAAGCATTATAAAGAGAGGAGTCATTATGAAACTATATCAACATATGTGCTGAAGAATTCTTTACCTTGTATCTAGGTGGATGTCAATAATAGTTGGAACCATCTATCGTGAGGTACACTATCTGTAATTAATCACAATAAGGATATAGAAGAGATTTTTTAGTCTGAAGCAGATGATATAAGCACGATAAACAGGAGGAGAAGATGGTACTATAGACAAAAAGGGAACAGAATATCGGCAACAACCAAGGAAAAGTCCAGAAGGATAAGAGAAGAATGAAGTCATAGCGACGTAATATATTGAAGTATTATGTATAAATGAACATATCAAGCATAAAAGGGCGGTGTCTAGTAGGAATAAGACTGATAAAATGGAGGAGTATATGATATAGGACAAATTAGGAAGATTGACATTGAAAACAGAGAGAAAAAAAAGGCAACACACGGGAAGAGAACAAGCGTGAATAAATATCTATAATGGAGTGAAAATTCCTTTACTTTTTTTTATGCTGCATTGAGCGAGTGAATGAGCTTAAGTAAATCGTAGACAAGTGAACAAAAAAACGTCTGCCTACATATAACTTTGGAATTTATTGTACCCTACTTAAAAGTCATATGCGTATTGTCCTATTTGAAACGACGCCAAGTCATATAAATATTCAATTTTAAGAAGTACTTTTCATCTGTTCGCTTTTGGTCCTATTCTCTTTCACCATGTTGTTCCAACAAATCTTGTGGAATAACAAAAATAGGAGAAAAAAAAGAAGCGGTAAATGACAAGTGTCCTTCTCTAGTAATAATTCGCCCGTTCCTTATCAATACAATCAGAATCGATAAATACAAAATGACACTATTTCCTTATTCGCTGACCACTTCATGGTTCCTGCTTGGAGATTTCTTTTCCATGTATGATACGGTGCATAAGGAATATATATCTATATATATACATATAGAGCACGTATATGTAATATGCTTAAGGTCTCCAACAAATTAAGACTTGGAGAACCCCTGGTCATTTTAGCTTTCGTCGCCTTTTTCTTCCTGCTTACAATTTATTCGTAACAGAAAATTACCGTTTGAGAACATACCCCCAGAGTAGGAATTTACCATAGAGGAGTTATCTTCTCATAATCGTGGGCAACGCACAGGAAGAATGAATAATCTAAAAGTGTGAAACTATTTCTATGTATATAGCTTACCGAATTTAACGCGAAATGAACATTTGCTATCGTACCAAGGGAGGGGGCGGCAGAGAATATATAATTTAATTTATTCCATGCAAAAAAGTTAACACTTCAAGACACCAATGGATCATTTGGAAAAAGCATATTTTTTTTCCCCCGCTTCTATCTTCTACAACTTTCATTTTTCATTTTAATGAGACATTTCATATGATCTCGTAGATACTTTTCCTTCTTTAAAATTAAATTCTAGAAGACGAAAATCCCTCAATGTAAAAATTTTTAAGGAACAAGTGTCGCTTTGCTACATACCGACTTAAACTATGTCCCATATATATATGTACCCACGTATAGGCATCCTCATAAGTCTATCTTGCGCATATGTGTTCATCTTTGCGTAATGAAATAAGAACAAATCTTTTTTCCTTTCTTTTCTGTTTTTTTCTCTTTTCTTTTTATTCTCGGTATTCACGAAATGAACCTTCCATTTTTTTCAATATTTTCATCTTCTCCTAAAATGCTAAAACAGGATCAGCGAACAGGAAAATAGTTCCTCTCTCTCCTTCTTTCTTTTTCTATTCTGTTTTCATTACTTCATATATCTCCAATGCTTCAACTTTTTCGTAAATACAAGAAGAAACGTGTAAATATGTTACATTTAAGTATTACTATTTTAATTCTTCTATGTTATGCGCCCCTTTACTCTACTATTTCAATTCGAAATAGAAATTGGTGGGCGTACCGTTTCTGCTGATGTGTATGCAGACGGGTAGTATGCTTATAGCTCTTCCCCCATATGGACGCCTCTGTGTCCAGAAATGTACGTACAAAAGTGGATAAGTAGACCATTTACTTCGTACTCCCCCCTTTTTCCTTCTGTAACATCAACGTATGAGCAAAGTGACGTACAACTCTAATTTCATTAATGAAATCTTTACCCCTTGATGCGCAGAGAATCCTTCAAATCAAGAATCAGAATCAGCGCCAATGTATACGTTCATAGCCTTGTACTACGCTCTACGGAACGAGAATAGCGATACGAGATATCATAATAAAATGGAACAAACCATTTAAAAGAACTATAAAAGCGCAATCCTGCATTGAGCCAAATAATAGGCGGGTAAAAGAAAGGGAAAAGAAGGCCAATAAAGAGAAAAATCCGTAGATCGCAGAAGAGTAAACGCTTCTGTGCATTAAAACATCGTAAGTGTTGAAAGAATCCATTAATTAAATGTAAGACACTTACGAAGAGAAAATACCAAGAATATGGATGTCAATTGGAGTTCTAATAAGTGGAATACCATCTAGGCCCTATATTTACAAAACGTACATAGCTTTATTCAGTGCAAAGTGAAAATGGAGGATTTTGCCTTGTGCAATAAAGAGAAGATTATAGAGACTTGATTCAACTGGACCAAAACAGATTTTAACATCTTTTTAAATCCAGTCCAAGTAGTATGCCATAATTACATCAGGAATTATCATAAAGAATCTCGAGAAGCAAATTCGAATGTCAATGGGATCATATTCAGTAATTGCATTGCCAATGGGTGGCCCGTACCCATGTACATTGATTAAGTGCCATCCATGCATACAATTCATAATAAATTCTTTAAATTGAACTACTCTAAAAAAATGGTAAACTTACCATTAAGTCTATCTTTAAAGTATGATGGCTTCCTTAACGAATATTCACTCTGCATGAAGTCGAAAAACATCGGCAACTTGTGCCAAGAGGTTTTGGGGCAAATACTTTGATCTTTCCCTATACGTCCATTTCCTGTGGCCTAGTTCGATAACCTTCCATGACCACTTCACGGATGCTATTATCCTCGACTTTGATTGTACAGAGGGGGAACATTACGTGTTTTGGTAAAAGAGCCGATGCTGTCATTTCCACAGGAGCAACAATAAATATCTATGCTGAGGAGGGTAGTACAAATGACCCTGTTGTAATTCGGTGCCTAATCTGCACACATTATGCAAAAAAGGTGTGACATCTCCTATTTAATATGTGGTATGTATTTTCCTTTTTCTAACTGGATGACTGATTCTCTCCTTAACGCATTCCCATTCTTGCGCTTCTAATAAAAACGATTTTGCCGATTGTGAATATTGCCCCAAAATGAACCTGAAATGGTTGGGCACGAAGGCACGGTGGGACAATTTTACCGGCGCCCCCCCCTCTTACTCATTTTTTTTCCTTTATGTCAACTTTTCTATTTTCCATTCTTCTGAACGTTGCTGTTTGTGACAGATGTGCCAAAATCGGTTTTATGGAAATATTCCTTTGGT